GGAGAAGCTGCCCCTTGGGCGGTGAGCACATACTAGCATCTGCTGGGTCCCTGGCTGGGGCCGAGCTGCCCGGGTCCTCACCTCGGCCCCGAGACCACCATCACCCCCGTTGTAGGAGGAAGACACTGAGACCTCGAGATGGCCTCCATGACCAGACGAAGGCTCCCTGACTGGGTAGCCCAGCGGTCAGAGCGGGCGGGCAGTTGGTGCAGCCAGTAGGCAGCTTATAGGAGCCTCCGGGGCGGGGTTGGAGGAACCCGAGAGGGGAGGAGTCCGCGGGGGAGGGACCCAGGGGGAGGAGCCCGCGGAGGGCGGGGCCGAGGGGAGGAGCCCATGTCTGAGCCGGGCGGCGGCCGGCCCAACCAGCTCCCACTTCGTGGCTGGCAGGAGTCTCAGTCTCCTCCTCTGCAGAATGGGTTTCAGGACAAGGGGAGGCGCCGTGATGTGTTGGGGGTCAATTACAGGGCGCACCCCAAGGCGGGGGTCAGGCAGAGGAGGGCCAAGAGGGCGGTGCTCGGGCTGCCGAAGCTGCCTGCGGCACCCCGCTAATACCCGCCTGGCTCAGGTCCTGCGGGGGGTGGGGGTAGAGATGGGGACAAAGCTGAGAACTCGGAGCAGCCACCTGGGGCTCCAGGTGCAGGGATGGGGGAAGGGGGAGCGGAGGAACACAACTGGGCACAAACAGCACCCAGCACCCTCTGGACCCTGCCCGCGTTGAATCTGGGCAACCGCTCCTCACAAGTTCAGGGGCCAGGCCCCCATGCTGGGGACTCAGTGCTCTGTAGGGCTGGACGTCAGGCACTCAGGAGATTCCAGATGTGGCTGAGACAGATGTGCGGGTCGCAGAGGAGGTGACATTGAGCCTTGAAGGCGCCAGTGCGTCTCTGTCTCACGGAGGGTGGGGGCAGCAAGGCCACCACACTGAACTGGACAGGCACTGGGTGCATTTTTAGTGCCCCCATCCTTCCTCTCATCCTCCAGGGCTCCCGTCTCCCCCAGACCGGTCATCTAGCTGGGGAGGGGCGGCTGAGGTGGGTACCAGGGTCCTCCCATCCACCTCCCTGGGCCCTGACACCGCCACACCACGTTCCTTCACCCTTCTGTTCGCACTGCGTCCCTGCCTGGCCTGGCCCGGCCCCAACTCAGGTCTCACTGACTAACTCCTGGGCATCCTTCAGAACCCTCTAGTTTGAGCGACACCTCTGCTGTGAAGTCTTCCGTCCCCTCCCAAGCCCCCAAGGAGCAGAATCAACCACTTCCCCCGGGGCTCAGTTCATGACAGCACACTGGATTAGCATCTCAGGTAGTTCCTCCTAAGGGACTGGACGTTGCCATGTGGGGCGGCCACCAGCTTCATCTGCAGGTCTGCGGGTGCCCAAAGGAGAGGGACGCCCTTGCTGCATGAGTCCCTGCTGAGCTGAGGGCACAAGCTACATACCACCGGGGGGGGGGTGCCCTTTTCTCGCGGGCACAGAGGCAGGGGTGGACCAGGAGTGGCCCTGGGGTTGACTGGTCAGTCAAGGTGGGCGTGCATAGTGGCTGTGCCCCTTCTCTGTGTGGCCTTGGACGAGATGCGTCACCCCTCTGTGCCTCAGTGTCCTCATCTGGAACTGCCACCTACGAAGTGGCCAAGTGGCCGCGAAGAGCAGACTGGACCGGGCGACGGGAGAGGGGGGGGAAGCA